CCACGAAATACTACCGTCTGCTTACCCGAGCTGCATATTCAATTCCCTTTGTTTTAGGAGCCAATCATCTGGCAGTGTTCAAAAAAGTTAGAGCCAATTGGAAGCCGCCTTTTTGAGAGATTATAGCCACTGGGGAAAGCCCTTGCACACGCATTGGAATATATTATTTGGGTTGAAACTTGAAATTTGTTTACTTGCGTGGATATATTTTGGAACCTATAGCGTTGAACTTCACGATGTGTACGTAGAATAATATTGTGATCATCTTCTCGCATGTTCAGCAAACAATCGGTGTATATAAAGTGGTAAAGCAATGCAGTAGGCGAAATTTAAATTTTTGTTAACAATGACAAACAATCAATCGGTTGCTCTTGATACTTCCTATATGCCATGACTTCGACGAAAACTTCTAAAAGATTAAGCTCTCATTGTCATGAAGAAAAGTATAGCCAAGTTAGAGTATGAACGTTTCGAAGTTTGGGCGAATTGGAAAATTCATCACGGCGCAATTTTAATACAAGTTTCTCGGGTTTGTGTTGTGTTTACAGTTTACATTCAGAAGTGGTTGCTCAAACAGCAAATTAGTTTACTTTGAAGCTAATATTTCGCTTTTTAAGCCACAATATTATATAAAATTGATGACCCTCTCAAACCATAATCATACATTGTGTTTGAATTTTGTAAAAAGTTACTTAGCTCCCCAAAGACTGAGGAACTTTTTTTCAAAATTCAAATACAATGTATGATTATGATTTGAAAGGGTCATCAACTAGGCTTTGCCTTCTCAAGCCTAGAACAGAATATCTAAAAAAAAGTTTCAGTTACAATGGGGCTCATGTCTGGAATCAAATTCCGGAAGACATAAGAACTTCGGCGTCTTATATTTCGTTTTGTGAAAAGCTTTCTTCCTCGACCTTTTCATTTAGCAATAATCATGCTTAAATTATTGTAGTAATTTCTTAGATTTCTTTATTAATTTATAGTACTTATTAATATTAGTAGACAAATTCATATCTATACATCATAGGTAATTAATTGGAGAGTTTATTCTATCATAGTAGTACACACACCTTTTGGAAACCAGCATTAATATTAAGTTTGTGATGTTACTCTGAGTGCATATCCACACCGGGCGAGCTTGAAAATTATGCCCGGCCACGGTGGGAATCGAACCTACGACCTTTGGAATACTAGCCCAATGCTCTTCCAACTGAGCTACTGCGGTCAGGACGGTTCGAGTAAGTGATATTTCGGAGCAGAATCTAGTTTCTTCGATACCAATGTAATCTTGTAATATGATTTTTTTTCTTGGTATCGAAGGAACTAGATTCTGTTCCGAAATATCACTTACTCCAACCGTCCTGACCGCATAGCTCAGCTGGCAGAGCATTGGGCTAGTATTCCAAAGATCGTAGGTTCGATTCCCACCGTGGCCGGCCATAATTTTCAAGCTCGCCCGGTGTGGATATGCACTCAGAGTAACATCACAAACTTCATATTTACCTGAGTACACAACACCAACACAGAAAAAAAATCAGCATTAATATTGTTGAAAAGATTTTTTTGATCCACACCCCTCCGGAAAGTACGTCACTTTGGCTATAGACCCTCGTGATTGACACATAGGCTTCAACTTATGTCAGTTACACGAAAACAACATGTCATGCGCATGCTCTCTGCTTGCAAGAAGCACGAGGACAAAGTGTATTGGAAGTCACCACTACCGAAGTCGGCCTTGTATTGGAAGTCGGGGGAATTGTAAGATAAACTCATATAAATCGGATATTTCATAATTTGTACGATAAACATGTAAACTATTTGTTTATTAGCATCGCCTGAGTCATGTTTTAGTCGAAATTTTAGCTCGGCTGCCGTTTAATATACCGAACATTTTCGGTGACGATTAATGTCTATACTTTATCTGTCGTGATAACTTAACGCTTTAAAATTCCCGGTACCAAAATGAGAACGGAAGTGAAAATGGCCATTCGGAAAATTACGGCAATAATAGTAGAACAAAATTTTAGTTGTTAATTAAACACAGAAAATATTATAAAATTGTATTGTCAGTATAAACTGGCTTACGAAATTATGGCATTTACATGGATAACACTGTTTAACAAATCGTAAATCGGTTTTCGGTTTATTACTTCTCGGGGCCGTAGCAACGTAGTAACTAGGTAATAATCATTCGCCCATTTAGTACCACTAAATTGTAAGCAAATTGTAAATTTCGACATACTAAAACGCTTTTTTCTGACCACCAGAATTCTGTCAAAACGTCCCCAAAGTCCAGGAAATGGCATTTCAGAGACTCTAAATTTAAAAATTTCCTCGGGCCTTCGGCCCTCGTTTTCAGCCCCTCCCCCCAATAAACAAGAGCACTGCTTCTGTAATATGTATGTGCCCACACCCCCCCCCCCCAAACTATACATGTTAACTACGCCCCTGCCAACTTTTCCTAGAATTTTGACCAAGTCGCAAAATTT